ATTGGAATCTTGACAATGATTTACATCCTTCAAAAGACTCAGTTCCTAGTTTATTGACTGAAGAAGGAAGATTTACTTCTTTAAGTGCAGTGCATCCTAGAAATGCAGAATCACCTATTTCAGTGACCGATTCAGGAATAGATATTTGCTTTAAGGAAATGCATCCTGCAAAAGCAAAATTACCAATAATTACAACCGTTACTGGAATTTTTATTTCAACAAGTTGTTCGCATCTAAAGAACAATTTCTCTTCTATTGACGTTGTAAAATCTGGAATTATGGCTGATTTCATGCTATTAACCAACAACTGATTATGTTCTTTGAGACGGTTTATTTCTTCATCTTGCTTTTCTTTAATTTTATCCATTCTCTCTCTAACACGATAAATTTCCAATCTCATGTTTCTTCTGATCTCTTCCTTCACTTGATCAATAATTCCATTTTCTTCTAGTATATGATTTAAATATCCCAGCAATTCTCTTTTTGTGCTTTCTTTATATTGATCTATATCGCGCTGAAAGCTTGATTTTAAGTTATTTATTGTTGATTGATTGTCCTCCTTTATTTGAACAATTGATGTGCGATTATCTTGTTTTATTTGCTCAATTGAAGCCTGATTATTAGTTTTTATTAGATTAATAGACGCTTGATTATCATTTTTTATTTGAGCAATAAAAGCTTGATTATCTTCTTTTATTTTAGTAATTGAATCTTGATTATCGTTTTTTATTTGAGTAATAGAATCTTGATTATCATTTTTTATTTGAGTAATAAAAGCTTGATTATCATTTTTTATTTGAGTAATAGAATCTTGATTATCATTTTTTATTTGAGCAATAAAAGCTTGATTATCTTCTTTTATTAGTCTAATCACATTTTGATTATCGCTTCTTATTATATTAATATCTTTTTGGTTATCTGTTTTGATTTGATCAAAATAAGCATTATTATCATTATTAATTTGCCTTATATAAGAATGATTAGATGACCTTATTTCTTCTATCGCATTTTGATTATCTGTTTTTATTTGATTGATACTCGACTCAATTTTTGAATCTATTAGTTGTTCATTTTCTCTTTTTGTTTCAACATTCTTATCATGAATATATGAATTTATTGCGTTTAGTTGCTCCTGAACCTCATTTTTTATATTGTCCAATTTTTCGCTATTTTTTTCTTCTATCTCTCTCATTTTTTCTTTGTTTTCTAAGATGATTCGATCCAAATTTGACTGAGTTTCTTCTTTAAAATTATTAAAACTATCCCTAATATCAGACGACACATGTTGAATGTTTTCAGTTGAGATTCGTTCAAAATCGGCTTGTTTCTCATGAATCAATTGTTCAATTCTCATTTTACAATCATTAGTTAATTTCTCATTTTCTGAATAAATATAATTTTGCACTTGTGCTAAGGAGCTGTTTCTCTCTTCTTCTTTTTGTAAAATGCTTTTTAATAGCAAAGAATTAATGAAATTAAAGTCAAAATCATTTGGAGATTTTCTTATTAAAATATTCAAATATTTTAATGGATCTTTACCAAAATCTGCTCTAGAAAATAATACAGAAGCCTTTCTCCCATTCCTATTTAGGTATTCCAGCAAAAAATCAATGATTTCATTTTGATTATCTTCATCTTTTCTATATTTTTCATAATAATTTGCTAGTATATTATAAAGAACTGGAACCTTTAATGATAAAAATTTTTCATCATTAATGAAAAACATCAATTTCTTCGAAATGATTTCAACATATTCATTTATCTCTATATTATTTGCATTTTGAATTGAAAGGAGAATTGGCAATATAAGTTCATTATAATGAGCTTCAATGTATCCATCACATTCTTTTATCAATGCTTCAGCCTTAAATTGCTCTGATAGCATTTTAATGAATATCACATTATCATTGTTTATCACATAGTTATTCTCGTCATTGAGCAATTTTATAAAATTGACTATTGAATCGTCTGGAAAATTAATATCTTCATACTTTTCATCTTGAATCAATTTAATGTTTTTCTGTATTTCTAGTTCATTTTTCTTTTCCCACAAAAAAGTGGACTTATATTGTGCATGACCATATAAAAAAGGAAAATTGTTATCTTTGTAAATAAAGTAATGATATTTACTTTGATTCATTTTTTTTTTAAAAAAAATGATTATTTTTCACTTCACATCACTAATGAAATGATTAGGTAAAATTTTCCTTTATTTTCCAAAATAGAATTTTTTTCCCATTTTCAATGAAGATGAACAAAATAAGTTTATAACTTAAATGTTCTAAAGTTAGATTCAATTAGCTTGGGACAAACTTTTTCAAAATTACTCATTCTATAATGCAAGATTTTCAGGGAAACATTGAAAAAAATTGAATGTTGTCCCAAGCATTTTGAATACAGCTTTAATACAGTATAGTAAAAAAATATGAAATCGTCAAAAAATACTAAAAAAGTTGGAAAATACACTTTTTCAAAGAAATAAGGCCAAATTTGCTTGGCTAATTCTTTTTATCGTCATTTGAAAAAATGGATTTTCGAACTTTTTCGTAAAATTCAAAAAGCTGGAAAAGCTACTTTTTCAAATGACGATAAAACAATATTTACTCAAAAAAATTGAGTGTTTATTATGAAAAAGCTTGTTTTCCAACTTTTTGAATAATATTTTTACGTTTTCATATTTTTTTACTATACTGTAGTGGGAAAAAGATGGAAAATTTGGTTTTTCTTTTATTATATATTTGCTTTGTTCATATCATTTTTATAATGACTGATAATGAGATTGTTCCAAATCGCTTTATTGATCCGTATACTCGGGAAATTATGAATGATCCTGTGAAAATGGAAGATGGTTATACTTATGAAAGAAATACTATTATAAATTATATGAACCAAAATTCAAACAGATCCCCACTGACAGGACAAGTGATGTCGAGAACAATGGAACCAAACAAAGATCTCAAAGATGACATCATAAAATATAATGAAAACAAAAGTCCAAAAAAAATAAATCTGATAGTGGAAAACTATGATGGAAGAAAATTCATGTTGAATTTATTTGAAAATGATAAAGTGGAGGAAATAAAAAAAATGCTGTCACTTAGAACTAATACTAAAGTTGGTTTTATTAAATTAACATTTAATGGAAAATTTTTGGCCAAAGATTGTGAAAAATTAAAAAATCTCAATATGAAGGATAACTCCTTAATAAAGGTAGTTGACACAGGCAGTCATGGAGGATAATATAAACAAAGTGTACTCAAACATTTCATTAAATGCCAAAAACAAATGCACAAAATTTTTCGTTTATCAAAAGAAATCATCATCCAATCAAATCGATTTTTATAGTAATTTCATTTTAGTTTTTTAAAATTTAATTCTCAATAATATTTATTATTAAACTTTTTTTTTTTTTAAAAAAAAAAAAAGTACATAAATAGATCATCCTGCCTTTGAAAGAAAATGATTATTTATTTGCTAATATTGGCCATTTGTTCGTCATCAACCAAGTCAATATTTTCTTAAATAACGATAAAATCACCAATTTAGAAAAAGTCAATTTTTACATCGAAAATTTAAACTTTTTGTGACTATTTCAAATCTATTCAAAAAATAATTAAATTTGAATTCAAACAAAGAAAAAAAGCTAACAGAAAAAGTTCGATAAAAATTTCTCTTTCTTAAAAGATTTTTATTCGAAAAATTCATTTCACTATTTCTTCTTTAAACAGCAAATGTCACCAATGGAAGTTAATTTTAGAGATATATGCGGAAAACACTATAATTTACAAATATCAAAAGATGCAAACGTTTCAGATGCATGCAGATTATTATCAAAAAAAATCGGTGTACAAGAAAACCAAATATTTCTTGTTTCATCAGATGAAGACATGAATTTTTATCAAAATGGAGAAAAAATGATTGATGTTATAGAAGAAAATCCAGAATTTGTCATCTTTATGAAAATCCTAATCCAAAATCAATTTATCACCAACTCAAATTCAGTTAAAAATCAAGAAAAAGATAATATAATGGATGAAAATCAAAAATCCACAGAAAAAAATAATGATAACAATGCAATCGGACTAAATCGACCAATTTTTGACCATTACCTGAAAGTTCCTCAACCAAAGATGTTTAATACTTTACAAAGTATCAAACAATGGTGCTATACTGGCTTTTACGATGAATATGCTTTTGTTGTAAATGATATACCTCATGATTTTCAGCATAAAGTCAGTCAAATCGCAGAACTTGGCTATTCACTTGATGATATTAAAGAAGCACTTCGTACAACTAATTATGATGTTCAATTAGCAATTCATTATCTTTTATATCATAGTAATCGTAATGATGACGATCTATATGACGATGATTCTGATAGTGAAAAAGAATATTTAGATGACAGTGATATTGAAGCTGAATATGTAGATGAAATTAATCAAGCAAACAGAGATCTTGCTTTAAATATAAATGACAATGATAATGATATCAAGGAAGATACGACAAAAGTTGAAAATAACAAAGATACAACTGATAAGAATGATATCAGTAATATTAACAATAATAGCAAAATCAATAATGATACAAACGATGATAGTAAAAAGAATATCAATATTCAAAACCAGAATGAAATCCCAACTAATCCATTTTATCGACCTTTTTTACCATATGGACAAGATAAAAAACAAGAGTGTGCAGATGCAAGCGACATTTCAACAACTAGTTAATTTTAGTCATGAAAATTTCAGTAAAAGAATGTGAAATTTTAAAAAATATCTTTTATTAGAAGTCAAAGAATATCTTGCATCAAATCAGCTCTTCATGAATTATTGCAGAAGATTATAGTTAAATGATTATTCAAGAAAATTTACTACAACTTCAATATGACAGATATTTCCTCGTTTTCACTCAATAAAAATTCCCTATAATATATTTTATTTCCCAATTTGTTTTTATTCTATATTTTTGCATTTCAATTGAGTCAAAAAAAGTTGAAAAAATACCCCCGACGGGAATTGAACCCGCGACTTCCGGATTAAAAGTCCGTTGTTCTAACCTACTAAACTACAGAGGCTTCCTGATATATATAGGATTTATCATTTTTTCTAAGTTTCATTTTAACACATTTTTTTTTGGATCAGAAAAAAAAATATGATAAGAAAAGATCTTCTAATAAATATATAATATCGTTATTATTTGTAATGTATTTCTTAATCTTAAATACTTATAAAATATCAAACTAATATCATAAAATTTCAAAAATAAAAGTTTTTTTTTATATATTTTATGGTTTTCACAAAAAGTTCGATTATTAAACGCGAACAATTAAAAAGTTGTTTTCTTCTTAATTTGAATATGATGGAATTATCTCAGCCAAAAAAGAAAATATAAAATCGTTTAACATTAAATTATTATAACCTTTACAAAACGAATAAATAGAAATATAATAGTTGCTCAATTTTTTTAAAATGATGCTTGCTCTTTTTTACAGTTTTATTGCTTCAAAAGTTCAATTATATCAAACTGATGAACGCCAATTTCTACAATGGATGAGAACAAATTATAAATTTTATACTGGGGATGAGTATCATTTTCGTTTAGGTATTTTCCTTTCTCATGCTCGTTATTGCCAAAATTTCAACCGTCGCAATGATATTACATTCCGTGTTAGTACCAACAAGTTTTCTTGCTATACTCCTTCGGAATACAAATCAATTTTAGGAGTTCGTGGCTTCAGAAAGATTATCTCACCAAAAACTAACAAAAATGAGCCAAAAATTGTGGCTCCTGATTCATATGACTGGCGCAACAAAGGACTTGTTAATCCAATTAAAGATCAAGCAAGTTGTGGCTCATGTTGGGCCTTTTCAGCAGTTGCTGCCTGCGAAAGTGCATATGCATTTACAACAGGAAATCTCCTTCAATTTTCGGAGCAAAATTTTGTTGATTGCGCCAATTGTTATGGATGTAGTGGAGGTTGGGCAGACAGTGCTTGCTACTACGCAATTTCTGACCAGAATGGTCAATTCAACTCCGAATCCGATTATCCTTATACAGCAGTAGATGGAACTTGCTCATATGATTCAAGCAAAGCAATTGGCAAGATCACCAAACTGATAAGTGTCGAATGGCGGGATGAAAATGACCTAAAAGAAAAAATTGCTCAATACGGAGTCGCATCAGTCAGTATTTCAGCAGGGAACACGCCATTTATGTCTTATTCTAGTGGAATTTTAGATGATGAAGAATGCCAGCCATTGTCAGACGTTGATCACGCTGTTGCAGCAGTTGGCTATGGCTCAGAAAATGGAATTGATTATTGGATTGTTCGAAATTCCTGGGGAACTTCTTGGGGAGAAGAAGGATATGTTAGAATGATCCGTAACAAAGATAATCAATGCCAAATTGCATCGCAAGCATTTGTTATCGTTGATTCTGAATAAATTAATTATTTTTATATCTTGCTTTAAATATTTCTAAAGATTAATTTTACAATATTATTTGAATCATTATTTTTTTTTCAAAAATTTAGAGTTTAATGAATTTCATTGATAATATTTATTCTTTATCATTCTATTTTTAGCTATGAATACTGTTATTTAAGAATTTTTTTTTGAAATTTAATCGTTGATTTGTAAACTTTTTGATAAATAAATTGAATTTTTATGAATGCTTTTTTTACCATTTTTTCAAATGACACTCACTATAGAAAATCTCCGAAGTTTCAGAGATAAAAGCTTCTCTAATGATGGCGACTGTCTGAATTTATTGAAAGTTCTACTTCCTTTAATTGACCAAGTTACTAATTATTATGAAATTAGTGATATTGGTTTTGAAATATTTAAAAAGAACAAAGATAATGAATATTTAAAAAAACATCTTTTAGACACCATTTTTTCTGGGGAAGATTTCAATGTTCTACACTTTTCATTTTGTCGAAAATTATTTAAAAGTAATGTAATGATTACAATTCCAGATGTCCACCAAAAATTAGAAAAGATATTTTCAGATATTCGTGAAAATAAGCTAAAACCACCAATTGGGCCAGATTTCAAATGCATTATTCTTGCAACACCGTTAATATTCTTTCCAAATGAAATACAAAAAGAATTTAAAGAAGATTACACAAAATATTGCCATGAAATTAATGACATATTTCATCATTCACCAATGATTAAGAGAATGGCACTTCAATGGCCAACACCTTTAAATATAAGAAATGAAATCTATGGATTAATGGATGAAAAAAATACTTTTAATCCAGATGATTTGGAAAAAGTTATAAATATGGCTGGAGATCCAAATCATATTCCTCAAGTTAATGTTTATTAGATAAAAACTATTCAACACTTTCTATTAATAACAAGTATTTGCTTTTTTTTTTATATTTTATTCAACGAAAATGGTGAAATTTTTATTTTTTTAAATGGATAAAAATGTTTTTGTCTATTCAATTTTATTTTTTAATTATCTTGCTAAATAATACAATATAAATATAATTTTTTAATAATATAACTCAATAAATATAATTTTTATTTTGTTAATAAATTAAATCATCAAAATTTTAATTCTTTATTCTACAAGTAAGAATTCTACAACATTCAGAGTCAACATATACAATTCCAAGCAAATTTTTACCAATCACGAACACCCAATTTGGCTGCACATCAATTGGCACATGCACACCATCAGTTTTACCACCATCAAAACCAGAAGTTCCAGATGTTCCAGTTATTCCAGAGATTACACCAGATCCAAATTATAATCAAATAAAAGAAAGAATTGAAGAACCAACAGCAATAGTTGTTGTTCAAAATTCTGAATTTTATAAGTTAGGCTCTAATAGTACAAAAGGAGGAGCAATCTTGTTTGATAAAAAAAGAGTTAATTGCACAATTGATAACTGCAAGTTCACTTACTGCATTGGAAATAACGGTGGTGCAATTTGGATTCAATATGCAGGAGATGACAATTATCTTTCTGGCAGGATTTCAAAGACAACATTTACAAACTGTTTTGCAAAAACAGATGGTGGTGCTATTAATCTCAAAATAACACAACCAAATAGACATTCATTTGTTATTGAAGAGTGCACATTCATTTCAAACACAGCAGGTGATCAAGGTGGTGCCATTTATACCGAAGCACGTGACAAATTAACAATTCAAAAATGTACATTTGAAAACAATGTCGCTTATGATAATGAAAAACAAGGTTTCTCGTTATATGCATCTATTGGATGTACAGCAAAGGGTGACAAAGGAAATAAGATCACTTTACTTGACAACAAATTCTCTTTCACACCAGTCCAAGATGCTTTTAATGTTTATATTACAACAACTACAAACTCTAACAATTATGATTATAAGAATGCTAATCTTTACATTGGTGGATGTACTTTTTCAACACCTCAAACACCAACTGTTAAATTCAATCACCTCAAAATCTATGAACAATTAAAATATGAATCAATTGTATTCACTAAATGCAATTGCGTTCAACAAGGACCTGACACTGTTTCTGTACCTGATATTGAAATTAATAATTTCAACTTCAATTGTGATCCAAATGGTGTCTGCACACCTGGCGCACCAGTTACACCTGGACCAAGTGCGAAACCAGATGATGATGGCTATACAAAGACTGATAGAATTGACAGCCCAGGAAGTGCACTCGAACTTGAAAAAGCAAAATTCACAGACATCAAAAGTGAAGGCAAACAAGGAGGCGCTATTAGAATTGCAGAGCCAGTTGTTGACTGCACAATTATTAACTGCAAATTCACATCATGCACAGCTAAAACTGGCGGTGCAATGTATATTTCATACACTCATGGTTCTACTCATGAATTATTAATTAAGAAAACAATTTTCACTGATTGCAGTTCTACTGAAAATGGAGGTGCTCTTTATATTTACATTTCACAAGAAAACACACATTCTGCCACCATTAAAGAATGCACATTTACTTCCAACAAAGCTGGCTATAACGGTGGTGCTATTTATGCAGATACACGTGACTCATTCATTCTTAAACATTGTTCATTTGACGGTAACCAAGCTAAAATCGGATCATCATTGTGGTTGAAAGTTGGCTATAGAAGTGAGAAAGATCCAACTTATGATTTCGCTCATGTTCTTTCAAATAGCTTCACATTCACACCAAGTGGAGAAGAAAGCAATGTTTACATCAGAAGTTATAAATTAAGTGAAGGAGATGGACCAAATGCAAATCTTGTTCTTTCATTATGTAGCTTTACTGCATCAAACCCAACTTCTGATATTTATAAGAATCTTGTTATTGATGATTCTGAAGGCCAATTCAATTCAATTTCATTCACATCTTGGAATTGTGTTAAACAAGGAGAAAATACAGTTACTGTTCCTAGTAATTATAAGTTATCAAACTTTAAATTTGAATGCAATGACATTAATTCATGCGGTCCTGATTCAAGTGGTTATAATTTACATGATCAAATAATTGACCAAGAACAACCAATTGAACTTGAAAACTTTAAGTTCCTTTATCATGACAATGATGATTCAAACGGTGGTGCTATTTCTGTCAACAAAAACAGAGTTAACTGCACAATTACGAAATGCATATTTGATTTATGCGCATCTCAATATGGTGGTGCTGTTTACATCAAATATTCAGGCAATGGCACTTATGTTTGCACAATCACTTCTTCTGAATTCACAAATTGCCAAGCAACAACACACGGTGGTGCAATTTTCATCCAAACTACACAATCAGCTAGACATACAGCAACCGTTACAGATTGCAAGTTTTCTAATAACAATGCCAAAAGTAATGGTGGTGCCATTTATGCTGATTGCAGAGATGGATTCACATTGAAGAATTGCGTTTTTACTGACAACGTTGCTACTAATAATGGCTCTTCATTGTGGTGCAGAGTTGGCTGGAATGATAGATACAACAAGAATGAAGCTATCATTCAAGATAACGAATTCACATTCACACCATCAAAGAAAACAAACGTCAATGTTTTCATCAGTTCTTACACATTAAATATTGATGTAACACCAAATGCAAATCTTATTTTCGGTGGCT